TATATATATATCTATATCTATATATATAGATAATATGCAAAGTGTCCCCTCGGGGGTTCGACTGGGAGATGAGGAGTTTGATTGCTCACTATGACATGCGCTGACCACCAGGGGGAGGTGCAGAACGAAGGAAGGCCCTGGTCGGCAGCCAGCAGTTGGGGAAGAAAGGCTCTGGCTGGCAGCCGGAAGGCCCTGATTGGCCCTGATCACCGGCCAGGCCTAGGGACCCTACCCCTGCACAAATTTTGTGCACCAGGCCTCTAGTATAGTATATTCAGTCTAGTCACACCAATGGATTAGTTATAACAGATCCAAATACACTAGATTAAGGCCAAATCTAATGGAATAGAAGATGCCACAATGCAAATGGTCTCCATAGTAAAGACTTGGTAGGAGATGGTAAAATGAACAGTAGGACCAAACTCAAAATTTTAACCTTATGTGTTTTGTTTCATTTTGGTGCTATTTTACTAGCTAAACTTCCAGGAAGTTCATTGTGAAGACATTTATATGGAAGACAAAGTAACTCAAGATGAGAATGTTCCATTAGGCATTTTACCATAGTATTTTGCTTTTCAACAGAAGCATTTTGACCTGAAAACTATATAAATCTACAGATTAGAGATGTTATCTTACTAAAAGGAAAACTTATGATGATATAAAGAAGTCAAGATAATAAAGTTAACTCTTCTTTGGAATTACATCAGTAGAGTTTGGTGTAGAAAAATAAAAATAACAGAAGTGTTTTTTGTTTTTAACTTAACAGAACCCATCTTCTACTTTGGTGATGTTGAGTACTCTGTGGATGAGAGTGCTGGCTATGTGGAAGTGCAGGTATGGAGAACAGGCACTGACCTGTCCAGGTCTTCTAGTGTCACCTTGAGATCTCAGAAAACAAACCCTCCATCTGCCAATGGTGAGCAGTTTTCTATAATAACTATGTTCTACAATTTTCAACTTACCATGACAGAAAAGACTTTAAAGCTAATATACTTTACTCCTTTTTAAATACTATTAATGTGGTCTAAATGGATTTTTTTTTCTGAAATTATTACTATATGGTAGGTAAATCAAACCTTGATTTACTACTGTGAGAAAATACACTTAAGAGCCATGGATCAGAGGCTAAGTTAAAACACATTAGTAAAAGACTAAAGTCTAATGCCTATATTTGCATGAATTTGTTCTCTACACTTGGCAAATCTAACATTGTTGAATATTATGACTTCATATGCACAAGAATAAGCATGCTGACCACCTTCACAAAAATCTAATGCCAGGTAAGTATCATACAGGCATGCATCTCCAATGGCTTCTGCCTAAGTTTAAACAAATGTCCCCATATATACTTCAGATTCAAAAGGCTTTCCCCAATTTATTATTTGAGCTGCCCTTGCTGGTACATTTATCCTGGAATCTACATCTCCAAAAAGTTGATCATAGAGTTTATGGCAAGCATAGGATTAGAAATTTCCTTTTTTTTTCCTTCTAAATTACCAACAATACAAACTCTCTCTTTTACTCACATATACACACATACATGCACACATGTTCATTATACATACATTACACATTCATCACACAAAGCAAGCAGGGGCCATACAATTACAAAGGTCACTCTTAAGTTTTAACTGTTTTAATGTAGTAGAACCAGCATAGTGCTTTTCATATAGTCATTGTCCAATAAAAATTTGTTTAGCCCAAAGAGTTATTTTGTTAGAGAAAATTCAAATAAAAGAAAAGATAGAAATGAGAATAAAGGTAAAGAAACAGAGAAAAAATACAGATGGATTCAGATACAAATATTTTTTAAAATGAATTATAGACATAAACATCCAAATATGGTTGCATATTCAGAGGTAAAGAGAAAGTTAGAAATTATGAAAACAGAAAAGCAATGATATTTAATATCAACCCCCACTCTTAGTCTTTATAAACATTAAAAGAAAGTTTCATTTTAGAAAACTGTGGTACATCTACACAATGGAATACTACACTGCCGTAAAAAAGAAGGAATTCTTACCATTTGCAACAGCATGGGTGGAGCTGGAGAGCATTATGCTAAGCAAAATAAGCCAGTCAGAGAAAGATAACTATCACATGATCTCACTCATATGTGGAATATAACGAACAACATAAACTGATGAACAAAAATAGAACCAGAGTCATAGAAGCATCAAACAGACTGTCTAACCTATGAGGGAAGGCGGGGGGTGAAGGGGTAAGAGATTAACCAAAGGACTTGTATGCATGCATATGAGCATAACCAATGGACACAGACGGGTTGGGGGGGTGGTAAGGGTGAGGGCATATGTGCGGGGGGTGGGGGCGGCTGGGGAAAGGTCAATGTGGGAAAAAGGAGACTTATGTAATACTTTAAACAATAAAGAATTTTTAAAGAAACAAAGTTTTATTTTTAACTATGTTAGACATAAATGAAGATGTCCACACTAAATATGTACCCAATGATCTGAAATGGCCAAAATCATGGACCAAATATGTCTTGAGAATAATGGGTTGCTCTACTTAACTGGGGTGAATGTGGGTGGAGAGTGTGGGACGCTCTCCAAAGTTTATATCCGAAATGTGTTGCTTTGACCAGCAGGCAACCACACACCTAAATAAGATGTTCTCTAGTAACTCACAAAAACAAATATAGATACTTAAGTAATGTTAACAAAGTTTAAATTATTATATTTATTTCATATATAATTAATAATAATCATGTTTGATTGATATACCGATTTTAGATCTCATTTTTATTAGCTCCATTTTAGAATTCCAAAATAAAGATTGAGAAACTATAAGACATGAAGCAAAAATAACTAAAGTTAAAATAACACATTAGACATAGATATGACAGAGTTCAGAAACTGATATTTGATTTACCATCTCAACCAATGTAGATATTAATCTTTTATATTTCATTAAATGTACTTTTCTGTAATGTTATGCTAGTCTACATTTTAAAACAATTGTAAATATACTACATGGTTTGCTTATCATAATTTTGTTTAAATTTAGTCAGTCCCCAACTGAATAATTCTTTTGTTACTATCATAGCTGGAACAGACTATGTGGGAATTAGTCGTAATTTAGATTTTGCACCTGGAGTCAACATGCAGACTGTTCGTGTCATCATTCTGGATGATCTTGGACAACCAGTGCTGGAGGGAATTGAGAAACTTGAACTGGTGCTTCGTATGCCTATGAATGCTGCCATTGGCAAGCCCAGCAAAGCCACAGTGTCCATAAACGACTCTGTCTCAGATTGTGAGTGTTTATTAATTTATAATAAGTAAACTAATAAGCTAGAGTTTACATAAATATTAAATTAAAAAATAAACTAAGGTTTATATACCTGTATTAGTTTGCTAGAGCTGTCATAACAAAGTACTATAGACTCATAAATATCTTGTGTCACCATTCTTGTGGTTAGAAGTCCAAGATCAAGGTGTTGACAGGGTTGATTTCTTCAGAGGGCTGTAAGGGAAATATCTGTTCCAGGCCTCCCTCCTTGATTTGTAGATGGCCATTTTCTTCCTATGTGTCTTCATATCATCTTCTATGTGTGTCTCTGTCAAAATTTCCCTTTGTTAGGGCCCAGCCAGAGTGGTTTGTACAAGCAGTGTTTCTCATATCTCTCTCTCTCTCTCTCTCTCTCTCTCTCTCTCTCTCTCTCTCTCTCTCTTTTTCCTTTCTCTAAGCATGTCCTCTAGTGAGGATTTTTTTTAATTTCTCCTTTTCATAAGGACACAAGTTATATTGAATAGGGTTTACCCTAATGACTTCAGTTTTACTTACTTACCTCTGTAAGACCCTATCTCCATATAAAGTCACGGTCTCAAGTACTAGGGGGGAACACAGTTCAACACATACTGATACCCTTTCTTCTACCAATTATTAGAATAGAATTATACTCTCACACACAAAAATTTAGTCTTCCTCTCGCATTCAAAAAAATGTGATATTGCTGATCTGGCCTAAACCGAGCTTTTCCAAAGAGGACCATACCAACATGCCTGGTGGTTGGCTTCAGATCATACCAGAGCACCACCCAATTAGCTCCATAAATGACACACCCAAAGTGGGAATAGAGGGACTATACCTCAACATAATAAGGGCCACATGCCAAACTCACAACTAATATCATACTCAATGAGAAAAAACTAAAATAATTTCCCTTAAGATGAGGAATAAGACAGGAATGCCCACTCTCTCCCTTCTTATTCAACATAGTACTGGAAGTCCTACCCACAGCAATCAGGCAAGAAGAAATAATAGACTTCCAAATGGAAAGGAAGAAATAAAACTCTCACTATTTTCAGACACTATATATAGAAAACCCTAAAAATTTCATCCCAAAACTACTAGAACTAATAAATGAATTTAGTAAAGTAGGAGGATATAAAATAAATATTTAGAAATTGGTTGCATTTTTATACAACAATAGGGAAGCATCAGAAAGAGAAACTAAAAAAAAATCCCATTTAGAATTGCATCAAAAAAAGTACCTAGGAATAAATATAACAAAGGAGGTAAAGACCTGTACTTACAAAATTATAAGACACTGAAGAAAGAAGTTGAAGACACAAATTAATGGAGGCATATACTGTGCTTCTGAATAGGAAGAATTGACATTATTAAAAATGCCCATAATACCCAAAGCAATCTATAGATTCGATGTAATTTCTATTAAAATACAAATGGAGTATTTCCACAGAACTAGAGCAAATAATCCAAAAATTTATATGGAACCACAAAGAATAGCCACAGCAATCTTGAGAAAGAAGAACAAAGCTGGTGGTATCACACTGCCTGGTGTCAAACTGTACTATCAGGCTATAGTAATCAAAACAGCATGGTACTGGCATAAAAAGAGACACAAAGATTAATGGAATAGTATAGAGAGTCCAGAAATAAACTCACACCTATATGTTTAATTCATATATGACAAAGGAGGCAAGTACATACAGTGGGGTAAAAAAAAGTCTATTTAATAAATGGTGTTGGAAAAATTAGATAAATGCATGCAAAAGAAATGAAACTAGACCATCTTCTTACACATATACAAAAGGAAACTCAAAATTGATTCGAGACTTAAATGTAAGACTTGAAACCATAAAACTACTAGAAGAAAATATTGGTAGTAAACTCTTTGACATTGTTCTTAGTAATATTTTTTGAATATGTTTCCTGGGGCAAGAGAATAAAAAGATAAAAGAAACAAATGGGACTATATCAAACTAAAATGGAGAAAACCATCTAAAAAACAAAAACAACCTATTGAATGGGAGAATATATTTACCAATGATACACCTATAAAGGGTTAATGTTCAAAATACATAAAGGATATATACAACTTTACACCAAAAAAAAAACAACACAAAAAATCCAATTGAAAAATGGGCAGGGTACCTGAATAGACATTTATCCAAAGAATACATACAGATGCCCCATAAATATGAAAAGATGAACAATGTGACTAATTATCAGAGAAGTGCAAATTAAATAAAAAATGAGATATCTCACACCTGTCAGAATAGCCATCATCAATTAATCAATTAATAACATGTTTAAGGTTGTAGAAAAAAGAAAATACCCATGCACTATTGATGGGATTGCAAATTGGTATAGCCACTATGGAAAACAGTATGGAGGTTCCTCAATGAAATAAAAATAGAACTACATTATGACTTAGCAATCCCACATCTGAATATAGAAATTTAAAACACTAATTTGAAAATATATATGCATTCCTATGCTCATTACAGCATTATGTACACTAGTCATGATATGAAAGCCATCTATGTGTTCATTGATAGACAATTGGATAAAAAAATGTTATACATATATACAATCAAATATTACTTGGCCATAAAACAAAGAATGAAATCTTGCCATTTGTGACAACATGGATGGGTCTAGAGCAATGGTTCTCAACCTTCCTAATGCCGCGGCCCTTTAATATAGTTCCTCATGTTGTGGTGACCCCCAATTTCATTGTTACAAATTGAACATAATTAAAGCATAGTGATTAATCACAAAAACAATATGTAATTATATATGTGTTTTCCAATGGTCTTAGGCGACCCCTGTGAAAGGGTCGTTTGACCCCCAAAGGGGTCGCGACCCACAGGTTGAGAACCGCTGGTCTAGAGGGTATTATGCTAAATGTAATAATCCAGACAGAGAAAAACAATTACCATAAGATTTCACTTGCATTTGGAATCTAGAACAAAGAATAAACAAAATGGAGATAAAATCATAGATACAGAGAACAAACTGGCAGTTGCCAGGATCCTGGAGGGCAGTTGGGGTTGGGTGATAAAGTGAAGTGTTTAATAAGTACAAATTTGCAGTTACAAAGTAGTCAGGGGATATAAAGCACAGCACAGGGAATATAGTCAACAATATTAAATGTCATCTATAATTGAAAAAATGTTTAAATTAAAAAAGAATTGCCTCATCACAGATGAGTAGAAACACATAGGGCTGCACAGACCCTTGAATGCCAATGGTCTTTTTCTATTTTTCAACATAAGACACTTTCTGTCATCTTCAGACAGTGCTGAAATTTTCCTAATGATGTGCCAAATACATTGTTCTGAAACAAGTACCTATTGGACACATGGCATGGCTCTTTAACACATCATCACAAGGGAATTCTGAATAATCTTCTACCATAATTATCTTGATGTTTCTTTGAGCAGCCTAATCTATTGTCAATGAGACCTATATTTAATTGATGTAGCATAGCTGTCATCTAAATATTTCATATATGTATAATATTATACTCATTGTCAACTTTTCTAACATGATATGAGTAAACTATGTTTGTAATAATGTGCACAATATTTAGTGGTATTCATATCAAGAAATTCTGATTAGCTCATGAGTAAGTAACACATATGGGGATCTGGTTTATTCACTTTTTAGCATTTCATTGCATCTCCCTACTCCACCAGTTGGCAGAGCAAATTTCAAAGATAAGGAAATCAAAACGTTTAAAGTTTAGTCATTTTCTCAAGGCCAGAACAATGACAAATGACTGAGTGGAGACTGGGTACCTCCTCTCACAACTGTTTCACTTTCCTTTCCACTAAACCATGTTTTCTGAAATGTCACTTCATTAAGAAAATTTTTGTTCAGTTTCACCCATATGTTTATTTGTTTCTGCAGTACCTAAGATGCAATTCAAAGAACGAGTATATACTGTCAATGAAAATGACAGGCAGATAGTTGCAATAATCCACAGGAGTGGAGATCTCCAGTTCATGTCCTCAGTAAGATGCTATACACGACAGGGATCTGCACAAGTGATGATGGACTTTGAAGAACGCCCAAACACTGATATCTCCATCGTTGAATTCCTGCCAGGTAAGTTTAAGCTTGACGTGTTTATTTGAAATTTTAGTAGAGCAAATTTTTGTGAGTAATATATATCAGGAACATATAAGTTCTTGATTTCAATAAGCTTATGACATAATATTATGTACACTAAATGATAATATGGTGAGGTAGATTGTAACAGGTTGAGTGAATGTCCTTTTTGGTTTCTGTATCAATTTATTGATTAATTTTCAGTGATTTATTATATTGTTTATTCAAAACTTATTCAGTGATAGGGACATATATGTAGATTTCACAATGCTAGGAGATACTTAATGCTCAAGTGACAGAAATTAAAAGGAATTGATGTCAGATTTTTAATATATGTATCCAGATCCTTAAAATATCTGATCAGTTGAGATCTAGTAATTGTTCTAGAAACTGGTACTGCAGTCAAATTAACAATGATCAACATGTACTAGGCTGCTAAATTTACTTCTTGATTATAATGCTAGTAATTTATAAACAAAAATTGGCACTTGCTCTTTTTCCTTGTTTTCTAAGATGAGTGACAGGACTTAAAGACTTAAAGATGTTAAAGAAATCCCATTCAAGTAGTTGGCTTGTCATTGCAGTGAATGAACAATTATTCATTCAACAAATATTTATTGAAGGCTTACTACATGCCAGACACTATTATTTGCACTGTTGATAAAGCAAGGAAAAGGCAATATGCTTGCCCTTGTGGTGCTTATATTCTAGTTGCAGATGTACCTTTTTTGGCCTATAGTATATGATTGATCTGCTGTCATTATTGTTCTAGGTGAGACTGAGAAGCCTTGTATCCTTGAGCTGATGGACGACAGACTCTATGAGGAAATAGAGGAACTCCGCCTAGTTCTTGGCACTCCACAAAGCAACTCTCCCTTTGGGGCTACAGTTGGTGAACAAAATGAAACTCTGATAAGGATCCGAGATGATGCTGATAGTAAGAAGTCATTTCTTATTCTCAACTTTCAATTGGGAACTGAAATCCATCTATGTTAAAGTTTCAGGTAGATTAGAAAACAACCCACTGTTTTTGACTAGGCTTTTAAAACAAATGAGAATTAAAAGAGAGAGCGAGAGAGAGAGAGAGAGTTGCCCTAACCAGTTTGGCTCAGTGGATAGAGCATCAGCCTGCGGACTCAAGGGTCTCAGGTTCGATTCCGGTCAAGGGCATGTACCTTGGTTGCGGGCACATCCCCAGTAGGGGGTGTGCAGGAGGCAGCTGATCAATGTTTCTCTCTCATCGATGTTTTTAACTCTCTATCCCTCTCCCTTCCTCTCTGTAAAAAATCAATAAAATATATTTTTTTAAAAAAAGAGAGAGTAAAATAAGGAATGAAATAAACCATTAAAACTGAAAGTTGATGTTGAAGAATATGACTTATATCTAAACTAGAGGCCCGGTGCACAAAAATTTGTGCACTGGGGGGGGGTCCCTCAGCCTGGCCTGTGGCCTCTCGCAGTCTGGGACCCCTTAGGGGATGTCCACCTGCTGGCTTAGGCCTGCTCCCCCAGGGATTGGACCTAAGCTGGCAGTCAGACATCCCTCTGGCAGCCCGGAAGCCCTTGGGGGATGTCCACTTGCCAGCGGGGAGCAGGCCTAAGCTGCAGTCGGACATCCTTAATGCTGCTGAGGAGACAGGAGAGGATCCCACCACCACCGCTGTACTGGCAGCCATCAGCCTGGCTTGTGGCTGAGCAGAGCTCCCCCTGTGGGAGCGCACTGACCACCAGGGGGCAGCTCCTGCATTGAGCGTCTGCCCCTTGGTGGTCAGTGTGTGTCCTGGTGACCAGTCATTCCCAGTAATTCTGCTGTTAGGGTCAATTTGCATATTACCCTTTAATTATATAGGATACTAAATCCCTAACATTCATACCTCCCCTCTTTCCCTGACATACATTTGGGTGCAGGCAGTCCTGGGCCAACAATTTCCTCCCTCTCTTCCCACTCTCAGTGGCCTGCTCCCATAAAATTTTGGCACATAGAGACTGCCTAGAGCATATGCTCTTTGAGGACTGGTTAATTCCTAAGGAAGGGGCTGGACTATGTTATGTGTGCTCAGTTGTTCCTAACACACTCAATAATATTGGGTGAGGAAACAGAAATAAGCCAGGAGTATAATAGTAATTAAGCTCTTCCCACTGGGAAAGAAACATTAGAAATGAAGAAAAATTCCTTTTACAATTTAAATTATTCCTATTTCCCACAATTTTAGAGACTATTATTAAATTCGGAGAAACCAAATTTAGCATAAATGAACCTAAAGAACCAGGACAATCAGTGGTTATAAAGATCCCAGTGATTCGCCAAGGAGACACTTCAAAGGTTTCCATCGTGAGAGTGCACACCAAGGACGGCTCGGCCACCTCTGGAGAAGACTACCACCCTGTGTCAGAAGGTAAGGGCGCTCCCAGTTCTGTGTCCATGGGGGTTGTACTCAAGTGACCATGAGAAAAGTAAGAAAATATCCAATTGAAATAAAAATATACATATACCTGTAAATTAGTCTTCAGAAAAAACAAAAACAATGGAATTTATTTCCAGAATTCCTCTTTTGACTTAGAGAGTATATGTGTTAGGACTTAGGAAATTTTTGAGTAAACATGCTAGACAACTTTCTGTTTTGAGTCTACTTTCACCTTCACTATGGTAATCAGACACTGAATAATAATTCTTGTGAAGTATTCTATTGCATTGAAAATGCATAATAGCAGAGATAGTAGTCTATTTTAGTTTATAGAACACCCACAATTTAAAACTTCCAGCTAGAAAATTTTGTGTTTATGGAGGGCAAAAAAAGAGTGGTAAAATATCAACTACATGACACCATAAAGTCTATGGGCCTCAAAAACCCATTATGGGTGCTTTTCATCCGTCTCTCTATTGCCTCAAATTTATGGATCATTTCACAATTTACTTTTATAAATAATTAAGACAAATCATTCAATACACACTCTGCCTCTCCCTCTTCTTCTCTCAGATTTGTTTGCTGACAAAATAAATATAAATTAATGTCCCAAATTTAGTCTATGAATTATTTGGAATTCTTATCCACTTGGTTTCTAGTTTCCTATCTCTCACTACAATCATTAGTTCCTAATGATCATAGAGCTTTAGGCATTCATCTTTTTTTAAAAAATCTTTATTGTTGAGAGTATTACAGATATCCTCCTTTTTCCCCCTATTGCTCCCCTGTGCCCCGTACTCACCCCACCGCAGGCCTTCACCATCCAACTGTCTGTGTTCATAGGTAAGATCTTTGGTTAATCTCTTCCCACTCCCCAACCCCCTTCCCTCTGAGAATCGTCAGTCTGTTCCACTTCCATGCTCCTGATTCTATTCCATTCACCAGTTTATTCTGTTCATCAGATTTTTTATTCCTTTGATTTTTAGATTCACTTGTTGATAGATATGTATTTGTTGTCACTTGGTTGTTCATATTTTTTATCTTTACCTTTTTCTTCTTCTTCCTCTTCTTAAAGAATACCCTTCAACATGTCATGTAATGCTGGTTTCATGGTGATGAACTCCTTTAGCTTTTTCTTATCTGTGAAGCTCTTTATCTGACCTTCAATTCTAAATCATAGCTTTGCTGGGTAGAGTAATCTTTGTTGTAGGTTCTTGCTATTCATCACTTTAAATATTTCTTGCCACTCTCTTCTGGCCTGCAAAGTTTCTGTTGAGAAATCAGCTGACAGTCATATGGGTGCTCCCTTGTAGGTAACTGACTTTTTCTCTCTTGCTGCTTTTAAGATTCTCTGTTTGTCATTAACACTTGACATTTTGATTATGATGTGCTTTGGTGTGGGCCTCTTTTGGTTCCTCTTGTTTGGGACTATCAGCTTCCTGGACCTGTAAGTCCATTTCTTTCACCAGGTGGGGGAATTTTTCTGTCATTATTTCTTCAAATAGGTATTCAATATCGTGCTCTCTATCTTCTCCTTCTGGCACCCCCAAAATATGAATGTTAGTACACTTGAAGTTGCTCCTTAAACTATCTTCATATTTTTGGATTCTTTTTGCTTTTTTGATTGGGTGTTTTTTGCTTCCTCATATTCCAAATCATTGATTTGATTCTTGGAATTCTCTACTGTTGAATCCCTGTAAATTATTCTTTATTTCACTTGGTGTATGCTTAACTTCTGATGGGTCCTTTTCCATGTCTTTGACATTCTCACTAAGATCCTTGAAAGTCTCATTAAGTCCCTAGATGCAGCGGTTCTCAACCTGTGGGTCGCAAACCCTGAAAATACATCCTGCATATCAGATATTTACATTACGATTCATAACAGTAGCAAAATTACAGTTATGAAGTAGCAACGAAAATAATTTTATGGTTGGGGTCACCACAACATGAGGAACTGTATTAAAGGGTCGCAGCATTAAGAAAGTTGAGAACCACACTGTATTAAAGGGTCGCGGCATTAGAAGGTTGAGAACTCTCAACCTTCTAATGCCGCGACCCTTTAATACAGTTCCTCATGTTGTGGTGACCCCCAATTTCATTGTTACAAATTGAACATAATTAAAGCATAATGATTAATCACAAAAACAATATGTAATTATATATGTGTTTTCCAATGGTCTTAGGTGACCCCTGTGAAAGGGTCATTCGAACCCTAAAGGGGTCACGACCCACAGGTTGAGAACCACTTGGCCTAGAAGCTCTCATGAAGACCCTTGAGTAACCCTATAACCATGGATTTGAACTCTGTATCCAGTAGTTTGCTTGGTTACATTTCTTTCACTTGTGACATGTTTCTTTGTCTCTGCATTTTGGCTTCTTCTCTGAGTTTGTTTCTATGTATTAGAGCTGCTATGTCCCCTAGAATGGGCAGAGTGGCCTTGTGTAGTATGTGTCCTGTAGTATGTCACCTTAACTGGGTACTCTAGGTGACCCCCGGTGTAGGCTGTGTGCATAGTCTTATAGTTGAACCTTCATTGCTATTGGCATCTCTGGGAGGAATTGACCTCTAGGCCAATTGGCTGTGAGAACCTGCTGTGACTACAGTGGGAGAGCTGCTGTGCAGAAAACACCCTTAAGGAGCAGGACTTGCTTCAGTGGGGCTTTGGTGCTCACTGAGTTGGCCTCTTGAGTGTGTCACTTGTGGATGTGTAGAGTTATAATCTGCTGTGGTCTGAAGCTTTCCATCAGGTGCACTGGCTCTAGGGCCTCCAGGGAGGTGCAAAGTCAGCCAGTCTGGGGACATCCTGCAGGAGCTATTTGTATTGGGCTTTGAGGTGCCCAGGCAAGGCCTAGCTATGAAGCAAAGCAGGCTGGTGCTAGTGCTAGGTCTCGGGCCTTTTATTGATAGGTTTCAGGCATGCTGTCACCACCTTCAATTTGTTTGAGAGATTTTAGCAAAATCTGAAGATTGAACAAGGACATATGGATAAGCTGCTGCAAACAGGTTTGGAGGGACTGCAAACTGGATGGGGTGGGGTCTCAGGGAATCATCAGGATGGAGCCAACAGATATGGCTGCCAGTCAGCCCTGCCACAGGGGAGGTCTCAGCACAGAAAGTTACCCCTGCAAGCACCCCTGACTGGGAGAAAGCTGCCCCCAAGTTCCTGACCCGATGCCAGACAATCCAGTTCCTCCCAGTATGTGTCTGGGTCCCCCAGAGCAGCTTCCCTGTGCCCAGCGCTAGAGCTCAGATGAAGCGGGACCATGTAAGTTCATGTGCCAGCCTTTTACAAAAACACCTGGGTCTCCAGCAGCCTCCATGTCTCTCTGCCCCAATCCCTGCTGGTTTTTATAGCCAATAATTATGGGGACTTCTCTTCCCAGCTCTGGGTCCCTGAGCTGGGGGTCTGGTGTGGGCTTGGACCCCTTGTTCCTCACGGGCAGCCTCCACAGAGATGATCTCCCTCCTGATTTAAAAAAACAACACATCACACGTGGGTGTTGGACCATTCCGCACCTCTGCCCCTCCTACCAGTCTCAACGTGCTTTCTTCTTTACTTCTCTAGTTGTAGGACTTCCATTCAGCCAGCTTTCAGGCAGTTCTGAATGATGGTTGTTCTGTATTTGTTGTAATTTTGATGTGGTTGTGGGAGGCAGTGAGTACAGGCATTTACCTATGGGGCCATCTTAGTTCTCCCAGGCATTCATCTTTATCTCCTAACTTGCATACACAATTTAGAAAAAGACTGATAGTTATTACTAAATCAGTTATAAAGGTAATGATAGAATAGGGTAAAAAAGCATTTTCTGCAGAGGAATTTGTACTTTGTATGCATATAGTTTGGGACAAAAGTAGTGTGGGAACCCTAATCAAAGTATGCTGGATATTCAAGGCTGATTTGAGGGTGGGGGCCCTGTCCAGAGTATGCCAGATGTGCAAGGCCAAGTTGCCTTACGCAGGTGCAAACGCAAGGACATAGAGATTATATTGTATGCACTGTGCAGGTGTACTTTTCTTGGGCCTTTTATTGATAGGTTTTGGGTATGCTGTCACCACCTTCAACTTGTTTGAGAGATTTTAGCAAAATCTTAAGATTGAACAAGGACATATGGATAAGATATGAACAAGGACATATAACCCAAATACTGATGTCACTATTTGGCAAGAAGCCTCTTTTGTCTAAGTTGGTATAAAGATGTGTTGTTGACCAGCCGGTGTGCAGCTGCTTGGTATGGCTCCTGTGTTTGCTACTGTATTAGCAAGGGCTGCTTTATGTGGCTACTTTGTAATGCTACTTTGAAGAACTGTTTTCTCTAATGGCTACGTGGAAGCAATGGCTACTTTGTCTGCAATAAGGTCTCTCTTCTATGCTTATGACTTCTCCTGTCTTCTCCATCTAATACCTGGCATCCATGAAGGTCCTGTTCCTGGTAGGGGAACTAAGACCCCACAGTTGTAGTCGAGCAGGATCAAAGAGAAACTTGCTCCCACAAGCTCCACAGTGAGCAGGGGAGCAGGGGTCAGGAGTAAGTACTCCAACAAGTAGGTTTACAGTTCATGTGGAAAAAGATACAATAATCTATATATATAAAAGCCAGGTGACCAGAATGCCAGAACGACCAGTCGCTATGATGCCCACTGCAGCCAGCCAACTGGCCCAATCGGGAGGCAGCCCTCCCCCTCAGCCAGCCTCAGATGGATTGGGGGCGGGGCTGGCTGGCCAACCTCCTACACCCTTCCCCCTGGCTGGCCCGGCCCCCAATCGGCTCCCCCACCCCAATCAAGGGCAGGGCCAGCTGGCCAAATACCTGCAACACCTCCCCCTCACTGGTCCCACCCCCGATCGGCCCACCACACCCTGATTGGGGGTGGGTCCAGTCATGGGGAGGGGCCACAGGAGGTTGGCCGGCCCCACCCCCGATCCGACTAGGGGCCAGCTGGGGGGAGGGGCCGCCCCCCCAATTGGGCCAGTTGGCCGGATGCAGTGGGCATCATAGCAACCGGTCATTCCAGTCATTCTGGCATTCTGGTCGCTTGACTTTTATATATATAGACTAGAGGCCTGGTGCACAAAATTCGTCCATTGGGGGTTCCCTCAGGCCGGCCTGTACCCTCTCCAATCTGGGACCCTACAGGGGATGTCCAACTACCTCTTGAAATCCAGGACTGCTGGCTCCTAACCACTCGCCTCCATGCCTGCCTGATCGTCCCTAACCCCTCTGCCTGCCTGCCTGATCACCCCTAACTCCTTCCCTGCTGGCCTGATCACCTCTAACCGCCTCTGCCTCGCCCCGCACCCAGGACCCAGGATTCCCTCCTTTGGCCGGCTGCAGGGACCCAGGACCCAGGCTGGCTTCACCCGGGCCAGCCGCAGCCTCAGGGGACTGTGGGTGGGCAACTTCGCTCAGACCACAGCTGTAGGCGCTGGCACCTGGGACTGCAGGGCAGGTAGCTTGTCCCTCTCCCGGGCCACAGCCTGACTGGTCCCCATTCCTCTCTTGTGAGCTCATTTGTGCCTGGCTCGTCCCCATTCCTCTCTCCCCAGTGTTGAGTGTCTGAGTCGTTATGGTGTGACAGTGTGAGGGTGTGATGACCATTTGCATATTAGCTCTTTATTATATAGGATGATAATATATTTGAAATAAATCAGATACCACCAAAAATGAGAGAAAAATACTGCTTATCACTAAATTATAAGATCTAAAATAAGTCTATTATTTATTTTTTATTGTCCCCAATAACATGATTAGTGAGAGGGAGAGAGAGAGAGAGAGTAGAGACATCTATGTGAGAGAAAAACATCAATAGTTTCCATACAGGAATTTAACTGACAGCCTTGTGGTGCACAGGACAGCACTCAATCAACTGAAACACTCCAGTCAGGCTAAAGTAAGCCTCTTAATACACAGGTTTTATATGAAGGAAACACCTTCTAAATGTGCAAAATATGACCTTGAGAAGTAGATGTTTTTCTTAGAAATAAAACAAATATTCTTTGCTAAAACAGAAACAAAATTATATCTATGCAGCCTTGGCCAGTTTGGCCCAGTTGGTTAGAGCATCATTCTGTACATGGAAAGGTCACGGGTTTGATTCCCGGTCAGGGTACATACCAGATTGCAGGTTCGGTCCTGGCCAGGGAGGCAACCAACCCATGCTTCTCTCTCTCTTCTCTCTCTCTCTCTCTCTCTCTCTCTCTCTCTCTCTCTCCTCTCTCTCTCTCTTTCTCTCTCTCTCCCTCCCTCTCCCTCTCTCTTCCTCTCTTTCAAAAAAAATTATATCTATGCAATAAATTACAGTCAGAAAAATGTTAAATAACATTAAAACAGCCTGTGTCATTTTTTTTAATCCTCACCTGAGAATGTGTTTATTAATTTAGAAAGGTAAGGAGAGAGAGAGCAAAACATCAATGTGAGAGAGAAACACCTCTCAGGTTGCCTCCTGTACATGCCCTGACCAGATATTGAACCCACAATTTCGGAATGTGCCCTGACCAGGAATTGAACCTACAATCTTTTTGATGCATGGGATGATGCTCTAACCAACTGAGCCACCCAGCTGGGGCCAGCCTGTTTCTTTTTTATCACATAAATCTCAGCTTGCTGTTTATAATGTTTATAATAAAAATTTAAGTAATATTTTCTAATCCTTCCATGTTGTCACAAATGGCAATATTTCATTCTTTTTATAGATGTGTAACATTCCATTGTATAGATGTATCACATCTTTATTCATTCATCTATTGATGGACACCTAGATTGCTTCCATATCTTGACTATGGGAAATTATTCTGCAGTGAACATAGGGGGGCACATATCTTTTCAAATTAGTGTTCTCTGGGTAAGTACCCAGAAGTGAAATTGCTGGGTTGTATAGTATATCTATTTTTAGTTTTTTGAGGGATCTCCATACTGTTTTCCTAGGGGTGTAATTTGCAACAACGTGGATGGGTCTACAAGGTATGAGGCTAAGTGAAATAAGTCAGAGAAAGACAAATTCCATGTGATTTCACTTATACATGGGCTTTGAAAACAAAACAAGCAAACAAAATAAAAACAGATTCATAGGAACAGAGGCCAAAGGGATGATTTGCCAGAAGGGAGGAGTTAGGGAGGTTAGTGAAAAAGGGAAGAAAACATGGTCAGTAATATTGTGATAAGTTTACACAGTGACAGATACTTACTAGAATTAGTGGGGTAATCACATTATAAGTTAAAAATGCCTAATATTGTACACCTGAAGCTAGTATAACCAATATAAGATTATGTAACAACTGTAGTTAAGTAAAAAAAAAAATTTAAATTTATAATTTAAAAAAGATAAAGAGAATCAAAGCATACCAAAAAAGGAAATATTTTCTGAAATACTATGCTCTAATTTTTCCTTTTATGTTACAAATTTAAATCAGTTATTTCAAATAAACAGAAAAACTTAAATATAGAATACAAGGTGAAATTTTTATGCTAAAAATGTTTAAAGTAACAGATAAAGACTAAAATAGTTGAGAAAACAACTATCACCTAATACATGTACTGTAAGAAAATAATAATTTAACATCCTATATAATAAAAGGCTAATATGCAAATGGACCAAACTGCACAATGACCAGTCGCTATGATATGCACTGACCACCAGGGAGCAGACGCTCAATGCAGGAGCTGCCCCCTGGTGGTCAGTGCATTCCCACAAGGGGAGCGCCACTCAGCCAGAAGCTGGGCTCATGACTGGCGAGCACAGCAGCGGTGGCAGGAGCCTCTCCCACCTCCACAGCAGCGCTAAGGATGTCTGACTGACGGCTTAGGTCCACTCCCCACAGGGAATGGGCCTAAGCCATCAGTCGGACATCCCCCAAGGGTTTCTGGACTGTGAGAGGGTGCAGGCTGGGCTGAGGGACTGCCTCCTCCCCCAAGCGCATGAATTTCGTGCACTGAGCCTCTAGTTTAAAATAAACACTTAAGTTTTTAACTTCTTAGAAATTGTGTTTGTGCAATTCAGAGGGTTACAAAACTTGAATGCTTATAGGGCTATGACAAGCTATAGAATGAGTGAAGCAAGGGAAGTGTTTCGGGGTTGGGGTGAGAATGGAGTGATGGAAAATCTATTCGCTGCTGAGAAAGAAAAAAAAAGCCTGTGCTATCATAGCCAGCTGACTGTTGCAGACAGAAAAGTTCAAAAGAACTCAAAAATCTATACTTTCCTATGAAATCCACAGATTTTTAAGTGTTAGAAACTAATTTTTTTAATGCAATGTCTCACGGTCAAACTAAACAAATTGGTGGGCCAGAAATGATCGCCTATTTTTTTCTTTTGGAACAAGTGCCATGAGCTCTTTCAGGGTATGTGGAATCAAAGACAGAACATGCTAAGGCTAATGTGTAAAATGGCTGTATCTAGACACAGAACTAATTTTAAAGATGAGTCTGGCTTACTAACTCAGTTTTAAACACTTCTATAATAATAAAAGCATAATATGCTAATTAGACTGGACGTCCTTCCAGACGAAGGAAGCCCGGGTCCCGAGTGCCTGCTGGTGGCCAGAGCAAAGCCCGGGTCCCAGATGCCAGAGGGAAGCCAGTGCCAGGAGCTGGGAGAAAGAAGGCCTACTCTTGCACGAATTTTGTGCATTCGGCCTCTATTTTTATAATTGACAATTATAAAGTAGAAGTAGGAAAGGAAAAATACATTGGAGACACATTTTCTTCTGCCTCATTTTAAGACTTGTAATTTTGAATTATAATGACTGAACTGCAGTTAGATCACAAAGCATCATCTGTTATCTTTTTTAATTGGAATGATTATGCATTATCTTCTTTATTTAAACTTCTGTGCCATTTTCTAAAAAGGTATAGTAAAACTACAAAATAGTTTATACGGGTTTCATACTATAGTCAGCTGCTTATTCATGAGTTCAATAAAATCAATTAAATTTTAACATTTTCAGAATTTTAAAGTAAGTGGGTTCAAAGGGATTCACAGAATTAGGCTTAGTTTTCAAGATAATGAAGCAATTTTGTTTAGTGAGGAAGGACAGGGATGAGAGAAAAAATACCATTAATATTTATCTTTAAAAAAAGTTTTTAAGTTTCCAAGATTAACATCAACAATAACAGATATAATTTAAGATATAATTTGATATGTTGATAAAATCTTAATTTTACATTCAGCTTTTCCAGATATATACATAATGTAAATACTGTTCACATTCAATAATATCTGTGACCATATTCATTTGACTTATGTCCTGTTGGTTTAGAAATTTTGGGAAATAAGATGCAAGTTTTTCTGGTTGTGTCCTGGTATTAGAACTGTTGATTATCCTTTCCATAACTCAGCATTTTTTCAAACTGAGGTCCAATAAATAAATTTAGTAGCTTATGATTAAATTTTTTTCAGGATAGAATAGATAGAATAGAATAGAAAATATTAGAGTGTAATGAATATAGTAGAAATAGGTGATTTTAAAAAACTTTTTATTCCATTTCATTCACACACACACACACACTGGTCCATATTGTAAAATGTATTTCAGATTGTGAATCGCTCACAAAAAAAGCTTAATAAAAACTCATATTCATATGTAAAATATTTAAATTTGTGATTTTGCACTTATAGAAATTGAATTTAAGGAGGGAGAAACCCAGCACATTGTTGAAATTGAAGTAATCCACGATGGGGTTAGAGAGATGAGAGAGGCCTTCACTGTTCACCTAAAACCTGATGAAAATATGATAGCAGAGACACAGGTAAGTAATAAATACAGGTACAAATTCATAGCTAACATTTTATCAGGGAAATTGCATATAAGCATCTCATAGTGTACAATACAGTAATGGGACTCTGTACAAGCCTTATATAAAGGAGATGTGCATTATCCCTTTTAACTCCTAAATAAATTTTGTTCCTATTAGATTGTAATCAAGAGATTTGTGTCTTTGTTTGAAAAATCATGTTTGTAGAAACTCAAGGACTAGAGTCACTGAGCCCTACATCTGCCCATGTACAGCAATTTAAAATTAATCTCCAGAGAGAAAGCATCATCTCAGCACAAAGATGAGACCATTAATTCAGTGCACAACTCATTAAAACACACATTTTAATTCACAAAATAGTTTGCTAATCTTCAAAAAATCTTCACCTTTTCAACCTAGCTTTATTAAATTAATGTCTAGAGTAAATATAACATTTATTGGCACTCACTTCAACATAGCCCAAATGTTACAGTTCTAACACCTCTTTTCTTTTTATTTAATTTATGTTGCATACGCAACCAATTTTTCTTTAAGATGAACAAATTTAAACATTTTTTTACCTTTAAACCCAAAACAATGTTATAATAAGTTTATATTGGTTTTAGAGAGAGAGGAAGGGAAAGGGAGAGAGTGAGAAAAACATTGATGAGAGAGAAACATCGATCAGCTACGGCCTGCAAGTGTCCTGAACTGGAACTCGAACCAGTGATCTCTTGGTGCATGGGATGATGCTCAAACCAACTGAGCCACACCGGTCAGGGCCTAAAATAATTTTTAAAGCTAAATGATTTAGGAACAGATCAATATTTATAATATCTATGCTTAAATTTACTCTATTTCTTTTATTATTTGTTTCACTATTTGTATGAGATCAAATTAGAGAGATTTTCTTCCTTAAGTATGGGTTACCATTTTATAATTTTTACTACTTGGTGATATTTCTGCTACAGTGCCTTGCTTTTCTTAAAGTCATATTTAAAATTAAAGAAGTATGAGCAGAAAATCTTTTTTTAAGCCTTGATCACATAAAAATTAGTCTTTTGTTATTTTTATGGAGCATGATATTAAACTTTTTTAAGTGAAAGAAACTGAGATTCACTTCAAGTAATAAAAGCTTTTTTAAGAACGCACTTATAAATATAGATTTGGAAACTATGGTAGTTAGATATTGGAAGAGTATTCAGGAGCTAAGGCAAATTTATCAGCAAGGTGTTCTGATTACCTTACCAGCAGCACATGTTCACAGGTTCCTCTCCTATCATGACTCAACTTTTCCCTCTGCCTGTGCTTCAGGCTCCTTCAACCTCTGACCATTTAAAGCTTTGCTTTTTTACTGGCACTAACTTCAGCATAGCCCAAACTATCACATAACCTCTAGGATCTACCTTCTCTCAGGGTGTCTTTTAGCTTTTCTCCCACTATCAACTAATTGACTTTTTTATGGATCTTCTACGTAACAACTCCAAGACAGATTTAGCTACTTTCATCACAATTTATAGAAAAAAATTAGAGCACAAATGCTTCATGGGCCTTTGTCCAACACATACTGCCCTGGGCTCGGGTACCCTCCCCTGATACCATAAGATATGGCCAAGGTGCCAGAGTCACATAGAATAAACCATACAGGATCTGTCAGTCTGAAAGGTATCTGCGTGTGACAATTTTATCATGATGAAGCCAGGGACTTGCCAAGCATCATGGCATTGTTCTGTGCAATAGAACCACTAAGAGTCAAATATTTTAATAATCACAGATAATTATCTTTTCCCACTAGGTGACAAAAGCCATTGTGTATATAGAAGAAATGAACAGCATGGCAGATGTCACTTTTCCTTCTATCCCTCAAATTGTGTCCTTATTGATGTATGATGATACTTCCAGAGCTAAAGAGAATGCTGGACCTGTGTCTGGTTATCCTGTCATCTGTATCACAGTGAGTAGAAAATTGAGGAAAATTGTAAAATAATTACTTAAAATAATTCTAGCTTAACTAATATAGTATTAGCTTTGACATGAAGAAATAAAAGTGGGAAAATACTACTTTGAAAAGGAAAATATGGTATTAATCAAATAAAGTTCTCATTTTTCTTCCTTTATCCAACAAAGCTTAATTAAGTGATGTGTACATAGATTGTTATTTCATGTTATCTCAGTGTCTGTCACTAATAGGAAAATAAATAAGGGTCGGATTCTGCACTCAGGGAAATCAAAAAATAAAAAAGATAAAAACATGTGAAAATTAGTTACTACGGGACAAAATATGAACATATTCACAAGAATAATGCAGCTCTATGTACAAGGGAAGGCTTAGGATGGTCCGGTGGAATTTCAGTTTGAAAGCGTCAGATAAGGGAAAGTCATTTCAGGAAGAAGTAATTGCATCATAAGTTACATCTAGAAGAATAGCAAAAAAAGTGGCATATTATCTTTCACTGCTTTTAGAGAGAGAGGAAAAGAGAGGGAGAAACATCAATGTGAGAGAGAAACATCAATCAGTTGCTTCCTGCATGTGCCCCAACCCGGGATCGAACCCACAGTTGGGGTATGTGCCATGACCTGGAATTGAACCGGTGACCTTTTGGTGTATGGGACAATGCTCCAACCAACTGAGCCACACCAACCAAGTTAAAGAATGGTATATTATTATTCCACTTTTATTTGCCTACACTTAAATCTAAATTATAAGCTCCCTGTGAGCAAAAACTGGGGCCTATTTTTATATCAGAACAGCCCTGGTATGATGACCTACATAAAATGGGTTCACAATAAATGTTTATTGAATTAACAAGGCAAACAGAATAATTTGGTGTCAAGTTATAAAGGTCTTTAAATGTTACATTGAAGAATGTGGACTTCATTTGTTGGGTAGCAAGGAGATCTTGCACAGAATTTCATGAGAGGAGAAGTTGTGTTGGAGTGTTACCATGGCAGCAGTGTGTCACTTGACTAGAAAGGCCCTCAATTAGGGAGGTGGTGTTGGGAATGGGAAGGGAGAAATTTAAGAAATATTGCAAAAGAAGAATCAACCAAGTTCACTGACCCACTGGATGTGGGGGGCAAGATGAGAGAAAGGAGAGAAGAAGGAAAGGAGACAGAGAAGGAACAAAGATTCTCTATCCCACCATTATATGGACAACTCTGAGGATTCAAGAGATGATGAAATGAATAACACTTTTACTTGTATCAGTTAGAAGTAGAAACATCCAATAGCTGTTTGAAATGCAAGATTAGAGTTCATAAGAGCTATCATGGCTAGGAATAAAAATTTGAGGGTTGCACAAATAGCATGTAGGAAGGGGGAAAAAGCATCAGTGAAACGACTATGATGGAACTTGAGATGAATAGTTTACACATTATTCTATATTGTGACCCTAACAGAGTTCTGTGTTCCCCATAGGCTTGCAATCCTAAATATTCAAACTATGACAAAACAGGTTCTATTTGTACAAGTGAGAACATCAATGATACTTTGACTCTGTACCGATGGCTGATTAGTGCACCCACTGGCACTGATGGTGTGACCAGCCCCATGAAAGAAGTGGACTTTGACACCTATTTTACATCATCCAAGATGATCACTTTAGACTCCATATACTTTCAACCTGGCTCAAGGGTACAGTGTGCGGCTCGTGCTGTCAATACCAATGGCAATGAAGGCCTGGAGCTGATGAGCCCTATTGTAACCATCAGTAAAGAAGAAGGTAACATATTCCTATTTTCACATGAAGATCATTGGGATACCATGGCATATTATAAATGTTTAATTTCTGGTTATTAATTTTTTCAAATGCCCCATCCCAATATATAAAAACCCTGGGTCCGTCACATTCACAACAACCGAAGACTCTACCTAATGCCCAGGCTGCGTGCGCAGCAGGCTCTGGTGGGTGGGGACTTGGGGCAGTGGAGACAGGGACGAGGGAGGCAGGGCGGGCACTCACACTCACTCACAACTGTGCACACACACAGACACACACAGTGCCCACCAGCTCACAGCCTTTTCTCCCTTTCTTTCCCTCCATCCCAACTCACTCTCTCAGAATGAGGAAACAAAACAGACTGGGCCTGAAGAGGCCAGGATGGAAGGGAGGATCGGCAGAGGGTGGAGCAGCCCCCACTGGCCCCACCTCCTCCCAACTGGGAAAGAAGAAGAGGGAGACAGGGAGGCAGGGAGGCCTGGAGGACTGCTGAGAAAAACAAAGAGACACAGAGACTGGGCGAGATCAGGTTGGCAGGGGAAGGCAGTTGGGGGTGAGATCAGTCCAGCAGGGGAGGGCAGTTAGGGGTGATCAGACAGGCAGAAGCATTTGGGGGCTAGATCAGGCCGGCAGGGGAGAGCAGTTAGGGGCGATCAGGCAGGCAGAGGCAGTTAGGTGCAATCAGGCAGGCAGGCAGGCGAGTGGTTAGGAGCCAGCAGTCCCAGATTGCGAGAGGGATGTCCAACTGCAGGCAGTCAGACATCCCCCAAGGGGTCCCCAATTGGAGAGGGTGCAGGCTGGGCTGAGGGACTCCCTCCCCATGCATGAATTCTGTGCACTGAGCCACTAGTGTATTTTATAATATGCTATACTAGTAAGTACTTAAAAATGATAATCCATTTTAATATATTTATTAAAAACAAATATTTGTTCATTCCACATTTTAAAATCACCTATCATACACCAGACTTTCTGCTGGCATATAAGTGCTTTATGCTCAGAATTTTTTAAAAATAAATAAATAAGGCAAGATTATTGTCCTCAAGGAGTTTAAACTCAAATTGAGGACACAACGTTTAGTCTGGACAGGGCACAGAAATGCAAAAGTGGTTGTGATTAGTTCTACCCAGAATGGGTCAGGAAAGGTTTTATTAAACAGGAGATTCTTAATCTGAATCTTGAAAACAGAGGGAAAAAGGCATGAGTAATGACTCAGAGAAGCATGAAAAAAACATGGAATATTCTGGGAACTAAAAGCAGAGAAATGGAAGGCATGTGAGAGGATCAGAAAATGAAGCAGATAGTATACAAGGTTCAGACCTAGAAAATTGGCTCATATAAGATGCTAAAATATTCCAAGTTGGTTGTTGCATGAGTAGGAGTTTGCTGGGGACTGAAGAGGAGGTATCATCCAGGTAGAGAAGTATGTACAACTGCCCAGACCTTGTTAATACAAGGGAGATTGTGTTCAGGACTGGAGCTTGACACTTTGGGGTGGAGAATAGGATATGGTTAAAGATAACAAAAGACAGGAAATCCACTTTATAAACCAATCCTTCACTCTACAGAAAACATTTTAAATTAGATTTTAAAATACCTGTTTATTTATAAGATTCTATTTCTAAAACTTCTATTTGCATACAAGATTTTAGAAGTATACTTACTGCATAAAGAAATGTATATGTACCACCTCCCCATTATATAATAAGGATCAATATCTTTTAATATCATGTATAGTAAATATGCCCTTTTATTGGGATTAAAACATATGGTGTTTAAGTTTCTCTTAAAACCAAACTTTTGAGTTGGTACCAAAAAAAGAAAAATTAAGAAATACCTTAAAATAAGTCCTACTAATAAAACAGACAGCCCAAATACTGAGGCCTGCCCTCTGATTTTATTCCTGTCCTAATAAGTACCTAATTCCCCAATTTTGTACCAGTTGAAAATTATATTTCCTAGATGTCTTCAAATTGTAATTCAGCATCTCGGTCCCTTCCATGATATTAAAATGAAAACATTAAAATTACCTTAAAGTAAATATTGGAGGAAGATTTTCATGACAAAATTCTTGAGTGTCAGAGAGAGAGAGAAGAGAAATAATGAGTTATAATTTATAATACACATACTGTAAGAAATTACATATATAGAGAAAACTAAACATTTTGTTCTCTTATTTCAAAGACACATTAGTTTTTGTTTTAAAAATGAGTGCATTTTTTTAGTTTTATTAGCTTATAAATAATGTATATTTTATAACATCAAATAATGTATATTTAATGTCTAGAGTAAACATCAAATCACTTAATTAAACTACACTTACTTTTTTTCCATTGATTTTCAATCATCCATACTGTGTCTGTTCATACTTTATATTAAACTAGAGGCCTGGTGCATGAAATTTGTGCACCGGTAGGGTCCCTAGGCCTGGCCAGCGATCAGGACCAATCTGTGGGGTGACCAATGGGGCGATCAGGGAGTCCCTGCTGGCACTCGCCTTGGCTGGACTGGGGCCTGCAGGCTGGGGGCAGCTCCTGTGTTGAGGGTCTGCCCCCTGGTGGTCATTGGGCAGCATAGCGACCAGTCGTTCTGCTGTTCAGTCAATTTGCATATTAGGCTTTTATTATATAGGACTAGAGGCCCGGTGCATGAATTCGTGCACGAGGCGGAGGTCCCTCAGCCAGAACTGCACCCTCTCACAATCCAGGACCCTCTGGGGATGTCCAACTGCTGGTTTAGGCTGAGGGATTGGGCCTAAACTGGCAGTTAGACATCCCTCTCGCAATCTGGGACCACTGGCTC